CAACACCACCGTTACCTTCTCCACATCCCACACATGGCGCCATGGCTACAACACCGCCGTCACCTTTTACACACCCCACACATGGCGCTATGGCTACAACACCACCGTGACCTTCTCCACACCCCACACATGGCGCCATGGCTACAACACCACCGTTACCTTCTCCACATCCCACACATGGCGCCATGGCTACAACACCACCGTCACCTTTTACACACCCCACACATGGCGCTATGGCTACAACACCACCGTTACCTTCTCCACACCCCACACATGGCGCCATGGCTACAACACCACCGTCACCTTTTACACACCCCACACATGGCGCTATGGCTACAACACCACCGTCAGCTTTTACACACCCCACCCATGGCGCCATGGCTACAACACCACCGTTACCTTCTCCACACCCCACACATGGCGCCATGGCTACAACACCACCGTTACCTTCTCCACCCCCCACACATGGCGCCATGGCTACAACACCACCGTTACCTTCTCCACACCCCACACATGGCGCCATGGCTACAACACCACCGTTACCTTCTCCACACCCCACACATGGCACCATGGCTACAACAGCACACAGCTTCTAATCTCTGACTTACACAGGCCTATATCCACATTGTCGTCTCAACAAACAATTTTAACGTCTGAGATGTTCAAAGTGATAAACCCAACGCCTTCCGGTTAATCAATCAATATTCAGAAATTATATCACGGTTTATCATCATTCATCGGTTATGGCGCGGTTTTCGGTGATCAGTGGTTCTGTGGTTCTTGGGACAATGCGTGGCGATATCAGAACATTACATTATTGGAACTGTACCCTATTGTTTTAGCACTTGATGTTTGGGGCCCCACATTTTCCAATCGGTGCGTATATTTTCACATGGATAATCAGGCTTTGGTCTCTGTTATTAATCGGCAAACCAGTAAAGAGAACAAGGTTATGTTTCTCATTAGGCAGCTCGTTCTGCTCACATTGAGGTATAATATTTTATTTCATGCAGTCCACATTGCAGGGATATACAATTCTTCTGCCGATGCGCTTTCTCGTTCACAGATGCTTGCCCTCCGCTACCAGTGTCGCCACCCTAGGACCGGTATTGGACAAGCTGCTGCAATCTGTATTAGCCCAGTCCTCTACCCGATCGTATCAAAGGGCATGGACATTGTTGCGTGATTTCTGTGTTGGTCACTCATTAGCGTATTCCATACCTATATCAGTTCCTACCCTGGTTCTGTTTATCTCCCATCTAGTAGCGTTGAGTTATTCTCCGTCAAACATTGCATCTTACATGACGGCGATCAGTTATGTTCATAAATTGCAGCAATTATCTGACCCTACCGATTCATTTTTAGTGTCAAAATTGCTCCAGTCCTGTCGGAAAAATAAAGTTTCGGACACTCGATTACCAATCACCAAAGCTATATTACATAAATTAACATCTAGTTTGTCTTCCACAGTGTCCTCAATTTATCAGGTCAAACTGTTTCAGGCTATGTTTTTGTTGGCATTTCATGGGTTTCTTCGCATTGGAGAGATTGCGGTTGATGGTCGATCACCAGACAATGTTATTTAATTTGACCAGGTCACTTTGGATTTGGTAGGTCGCTATATCATCATAGAATTTCGTCATTTCAAGCATAGTTCTGGAAGCAGTTTCAGGCTTACCATACAGTCCCAGGCTACCCCATCTTTTTGTCCAGTCGCATCTTTGAGGGAGTATTTGTCAGTTAGAACTTTATTGCCTGGCCCTCTTTTCATTTTTCCACCAAATTTACCTGTATCTCGTGGTCAATTTAATTCAGTTTTATTTCGGATTCGATACCGCAAGATACAAGTCGCACAGTTTCCGCATCGGAGCTGCCTCAGAGTCAGCACGACAGGGTTATTCGGACAACCAGATCAGACAGATGGGTCGGTGGAAATCTGATCAAGAGCTAATAATACTCTAAGCTCTAAGCTAATAATACTGCTAATAAGAGGTATTATTAGCTCTTGATCTGATGCATATAAACATTATTTGCGTGAAAATCAACAGCAGTCCGCGCTTTAGTGCAATATCAGCATTGATGTCTGCGCGTACGCGGCATCATGCATCTTTTTAGTATCGGGCAATGTCTGTGTGTTCACGACATCGGAAACACTATTACAAACCACCGTGGTTGGATATTATCAAGAGCTAATAATACCTAGAGTGTACAACGGAAAAACG